ATGCACTGGCCTGTCCTGGGAAGCGGATCAGAATAGCCACCGGCCGTCCACGAAGATGCCGCCCATCTCAGGGGACTCTGGGAGCAGGTGGATCCTCTAGAAGGCGCAGCTGGAACCCTGGCAGGTGCCCTCCTGCTCGGGCTCCTGAGCAGCTGTGAGTGTGGCAGGGCACCCTGGATTGTGTCCCACCGCTCACCCTCTGGAAAGCAGGATTTCTTTGCGCTCCCACCCCCACCCCTGCACCAGAAAGACCGAATGCTTTGACCCTAGATTTTTATTCTTGCGAGCCTCTGCCAGAATGTGGAAGGGGGCTGGGAAGAGCAGGGGTATCTCCTCCAAAGGCTTCTCTGGCTAAACAAAGCTATCCTAATGGCGGAGGGAAGCAGGATGTTGGCCAATCTCCTGGACACGTCTGAACTGACCGTACTTGGCATTTAATCCTGCCGGTGGTGCCTTAATCTGCCAAGCTCAGAAGAGCTGAGGGACTTGGCTGCCTTGCATTCTCTCCAGCAAACCCCAGCCTTTTAACAGAAGGAGCACTTTTCTCCCAACCTCTGAAGGAGCAGCTCGAGAGGGGCAGCCTGCCTGCTTTCTGGAAAGACCAGCCCATGCACTCCCTTTCATGGCCGATGGGGGAGTAGGAAGTGGGGGGAGGAGCTGTGGGGAGGAAGCGGGTGGCAAGGGGCTGGCAGGTCACGCCAAAGAAGTCTTGCAAGAGAAACAGGAAGATGGGAGGTCTCAGTTACACCCGGAAGGCTTAATGCAGCTGGAACCCCGGAGGACCATGTGGCACGTTCACAGGACAGAGAGGGAGCTGAACGCCCACCTGGTCTGCCAGATGTGTTGCATTGGTTCGTATGCCTTGTGCCTTTCTTGGGGGGGGGGGAAGCGGGTGAGAAGTGGCGCAAGTTTGAGTCCAATCCAAACCATGTTTACTCAAGGCTGTGAGCTGTTGAGCTGAGTTCATTTTGTTTGAACTAGGGTTCTTGTTGGTCTCTTTTTATCTTTCGAGTTCTGGATGGCCCAGTCCATCATTTTGCCCTAGATGATTTCGCCTCTTTGAATGTTGTTGGAAGGTCAGACTGGGTGCTTATGGAAGGTCTCTGAGGCTGGAAGGAGCCTTTTTCATTTACAATCGTCAAGTAACACCCTGGGAGGACAAACTAGTTGGGTTTTACTGTTATGAGGTGAGTTGGCTGCCTTGAGCAGTTTATCTTGGGTACCTGTAGAACAGGGGTGTGAAACTTGTGGCCTGTGGGCTGGATGCATCACACACGGGCCACGCCTACCCCCAGTTTAGCAAGTGGGGGGGGGGAGTTGTGATACATCACGTGATGACAATGTAACTTCATGAGTTTGACATCCCTGCTGTAGAAGAAATTCAATACAGAAAGTAGGCCGAGCTGATTGGGAATTTACTGCAATCAGGAAGCTTTTCCATCTCAGACACATTGACCAGTTCAGTTTATGGGCCTGGCACAGGTGAGGTTCCATGGCAGTCAGTGGAAGAACAGAGCTCTGTTGGGACAGCTCTTTCCAGCACCTGAGGTTTGGAGTCCTGGCTGCTCCTTCCTCCTTAAAATGGCTGTTTTTCTGAGACCCAAAGGGTTTGCTCCTTCGGTCTGCTTTATTTGCACCACATGGGTTGGGCAAGTACATCCTGAGGCACGGCAACAGTGTCTTCTATTGATCGTTCATGCTTTTTGCACACTTATTAGTAATGGTGTAGGAGACAGTTGTTTTTTTAAAGGCATCTTGAGTCCTGAGTCAGAAATGGGGAGCTTCTCCTCCTCCAGATCCTCCAGCATCTCTCATCACTGGCCCTATTGTTCTGCAGCAAGTGGCAAATCAGAGGTCCCGTTGTTTCTTCCTTCCTTCAAACATTTAACCAAGAATAGAACAGATACACCAGTGCTAAAGCAAAATAAATGTTAGCCTGTTTGTGTCTCACACCCCGAAGTGTGTTAGGTGGCCATAGATGGCCTTACCCTCAGCGGGTGGGGCAGTAATATCAGGGGGCCTTGAAGAGCATTTGATTGGAGAGAAGTTGCTGGAGGGGTAGACCTTGCTTTGTGTATGGGGTCACACCACAATTAGAGCTAGCATATGATAAGCCAAGGCGAAAGCTTCATTGAGCAGGATTTGGGGGAGGAGATTTTGTTGTCAGAAAAGGGAAATGTTCCATGAATTACCCAATGACGGTGCGTTATGGCCCCCCACACCTGGGAAAATGTGGTCATTTGGGCATATGGAATCTCTGGTTCTGCTGAAAACACTCGGCTGTTTAGTCCTTGACGGATAGGCTACCAAACTTTCTTCGGTGTTTCAGTCCCATTTGCCCACTGGGACATTTAACATTAGTGCCATTGGGATGGACGGTCTTTTAAAATGAGACAGAGGAGTTGAAAATGGCCCCACCTTGAAAATAGTGGAATGGCAGGGAGGGGGGCATTGTAATTAAGGCGATAGCAATGGCCATAGCCCTTAGACTTATATACCGCTTCAGGGTGCTTTACAGCCCTCCCAAAGCGTTTTACAGAGTCAGCATATTGTTCCCCAACAATTTGGGTCCTCGTTTTACCCACCTTGGAAGGATGGAAGGTTGAGTCAACCTGGAGCCTGGGGAGATTTGAACTGCCAAATTGCAGGCAGCTGGCAGTCAGCAGAGTTGCCTGCAGTACTGCACTCTAACCACTGCACCACCGCGGCTCTAAAGGAAGTGCTTTGGGACTTCTTTACATACGGTAGAAATATTTTCATCATGGAAAATAATTCTGAGAAGAATTTTTTTAACAAGATGTCAATGGGGATATTCCTGAACATCAGTTGCAAGTGGTTTTCTTGGCTAGACGGTGTGGAAGCTCTGTTGAATCTGTGGATGCTGGGAAATCAGTGCAAACAGTGCCTGAGAAAAGAAGCTTTGCTAAGGCTTCACAGAAGGAAAGTCCCTGAGCACAGACTGTACACAATTTCCAGTTGATACTTGGAGGCTGAAGGCCAAGAGATCTCAGAGATCTCCCCCTGCCCCACAAAAAAAAGTATACCTGAAGAGGAATGTTTAAAATAGTGAAGAACTAGAAAAGGACTTGTGTATGATGGGGCTTGATGGAAAGGTGAGGGGAAGCCATGGATTGGGATCGCCGATGGCTGCTCCGCAGAAGCTCTGCACTATCCTGCTGCCGTAAGTGGAGTTTGAGGCTCAGGAGTGGCCTTTTACACCAGGCACGTCGTCGTGCTCAATCTCAAGGATTCTGCTCAGAAGTAGAGTAGATGCTTCAAGCCAGATGTCTGCCCTTTCTTGGAATAGGGCATTAGTGACCATGAAGCTTAGGAGAGTCTGCAGTCTAAATGATGACAGAGGAATAAAAGGTTTGTGTAGGGATGTCCATAATAAGGAATTGATTGGTACTTCATTGCAAGCTCTCTCTTCACTTCTAGCAAGCAGGTTGTCATGGACCAATATGATTTTTACGCCTTGTTTCCATGTCGATTATTTCTTATGCCAATTGTCTTCCTATCACTACACTATAGTGATGGGCTTCCATTATACTAGTCCAGAACTTTCCAAACATTCTCTGGTGGAGAGTGAGCAAGCCGAGCTTTGAACGTGGGCTTTGGGTGAGATTTCTGTTATCTCTTGTTTCTCTGGTTTCATTAATGCTGGCTCTATGAGTAGCAAAGATTGGCAGTATAAAGACACACACATATATATTTGCCTAATTGAATCTGAAGGCGTGATGGTTCATGGAATATATTGGGAAGGTACATTCATGGAAACCTGCTGTGGAAGTCTTTCGTGGGCGATGCTGTCGGTTAACTTCTGGGTGGTTCTGGTGCTTGCGGGGTGAATAAATGGGGAGGCTGACCAGAATTTGCCAAGAGATTTCGCCAGGAGGAAGCAATGAAAATGACCAAAGCAGCTGAATGTTTTGAGAGATTGTTTACTAAACTATGAGACCAGACAAAGGAGGAATCTCTTGATTAGCTGCCAGCTGCAGTGAATGTGATCTAAAAGCTGCCAGATGTGCAGTGCAGGTGACTGCTTCCTCCTGGAGAAACAGACGGGGGGGGGGTAATAAGGCAGCAAGTTTCCTGCTCACTAAATGAAGGAATAGGAGTCTGCCTGGACAAATGGGAAGAGGCGTCCTTAACAAATTTTCTTTACAAGTCAAGAGATTATTTATGCATAGCAAACCTGAGAAGAGAAGGAAAAGAAATAAACTTTTGTTTTCTACTGGGGGGGGGGGGGGGGGGGGGGGGGGCTTCCCTTTTTTTAAAAAAAAAAAACAACCTTGGGGTTTACTTGATAGCTTTTATATATCTCCTACCTTGAAATATACACCACAGTTTGCGGGCATGCAGGTTGCCTCCTTGATTAAAGAAACATTAATGGATCAGTTTGTTTGTTTGCTACTTTTGTATCATAGAAAGATAAAATTTGTATCCTTGAGACAGGAACTCTCTGGAATATCTCTGATCTGGTTTGTACCCTTTTGAAAGTTGCACTCGTTTATAATCCCATAGACCTCAATGCTAGGAAAGTTCAATTCTCCCCTCTGCACCCAGAGAGCACATTCTAGGGCACGGGAAGCACTTCGGGGGGACTCGACACCCCCTGACTCTGCAAGTGACTTTTTGAAAAATGGAAGTGGCCGGGTGACCTTGCCTGATATGGGGAAACGGAGAAGGCAGAGCCATCTCGTCAAAATAAATACGTATTTTCAAAAAAGGTTAAAGTATCTCTGTGGAGAAAACTGACCCAGATCCTCTACTCAGAAACCTGCAAACCTGCAGCTCTCTGGGAATGGGGCAGGGGGCTGGAGTGTGTGTGTGTGCACATGTGTGTGCGGGGGGGGGGGAGGGCTAAACTAAAGGCCTAAAAGAGGCTTTGCTTGCCACCTACAATAAGTTGTGTTTATTTTATTTTTGTGGCTATGTTTATTTTCTCAGGTGACCAAAAAGCTAACTTGTTTGCATTTTCTCTTTTTTTTCTTTTGCAGATGAACGGGATCGGGTCCAGAAAAAGACCTTCACAAAATGGGTGAATAAGCACCTGATGAAGGTAAGCCCCATACACCTCTGATTCTACTAGACCTACTCTCCCACCCCCTTTCATTTTTAAAGCTGACACAGAAGAAGGTTGGCATTCTCGCGCTGGATGCTTTTCATACATATCCAGGAAAAGATTATTAAATGCTGTGAGTTCATTCTTTAAAGTGTGCATGCTCCTAGCTCTTATAACAGCAGGAAAAAAAATATTTGAATCAAAACAGGGTTGGGTAAAAGAAGATCGATCAGCATGCTTAGTTGGCTGGTCGGCAGTTCTTGCATAGCCGATTTCCCTCCTCCAGTGAGAATTTCTCTGCACGTGGGTTTCTCAACCTTGGCCGCTTTCACTTCACCTCCCAGAATTTCCCAGCCAGCTATGCAAAGCTGGAGAATTTTTGGAATTGAAATCCGCCCCTCTGAAAGGCTCCCATGGTTGAAAAAGTTTGCTCTACCCACTTCCTTGTTCTGTGCAGTCCTCAGCAGCTGCCCAGCGTTGTTTCTCTGCTCTGCCCTCACAGGTGCGCAAGCACATCAATGACCTCTACGAGGATCTGCGAGATGGCCACAACCTCATCTCCCTGCTGGAGGTCCTTTCAGGCGTCAAGTTGGTGAGTTTGCAAGATGCCGCAAGGGAAATGACTTTCCCAGGTCTGAAGGCTAAGACCTGCCTCCCCAACAGAAACAAAACCTTCACACCAGGAGATGGAAACCTATGTGATTTCTGACAACCTGTCTCAAGCGTGTCCTTACATTATTTAATGGTTGATCCTAGTCTGAGTTGCCACGTCTCTTCTCATCCTTAATTTCTAACCATAAAATTATTGTTAAGGAGTTTTCATTTCAAAGAGTCCTTCATTTAGAAGGGGGCCTCGAGACCACTGAGTCTCACCCCTGCTGTGAGCAGAAATCCAAATCGAAGCCTCCCAGGCGGAGGAGGGTTGCCCTGAGCGTGTTCCTCAGAGAAGGACACCCACCCCACTTTGACTGCCAAATTGTTGTTAAGGCTTTTTTGTGTGTTTTACTCCCACTTGGAATCTGCAGCCTCCAAGTGCATGTTCCATGTCTTGCGCCTTAATGAAAGAGAATGGATATGTGGCGATCTTTCACACGTTTGAAACATCCCATCCCATGCCAACTCCCTCTTTCTCTTCTCAGGGGTAAACACTTCCAATCTCTCCTCACAAGGTTTTGTTTTTAGTTCCCTGGTATTCTTGTTGCCTTCTTTTCTGATTTGTCTGAATGTGTGAAGCCACACCTGGATCCAGAGAAGTCTGACCAAAGCAGAATGGAATGGAACGATGACTTTCCATCCTAGCACACGAGGTCACAGCATTTATTGTGATCTGTGTCCTCCTTTGAAAAGCTAACAGCTAACTTTGGGGTGCCGTGCCTAGGGGGTGGGGTCACCCAAGTGTTAGAGCTGAGGTTAATTTCAAATCCCTCCAGAAGGCTCCCCTGCGGGCATTGTGGCTTCCTGTCTCAAAAGTGGGGCGGTGTGTGGCTTTCCCTTCCAAGCGTCTCGATCGCCCTGCCCTCCCACACTCCCAGTCTGGTTGTGTTCAGTGTTGGAGCTTTATTCTCCCCGTCAGGACGTTTTTCCGTAGTTCTAGGTTTCTGAGGAGAAATTTTCTGATGCTGAGAACAATCAGCCAATGGAACAGCCTCCCTCCAGAAGTTGTGGGTGCTGCATCACTTCGGGCTTTTAAGAAGGGACTGGACACCCACTTGTCTGAAATATGATCGGGTCTCCTGCTTGGGCAGGGGGGTGGACTAGAAGACCTCCGAGGTCCCTCCCCACTCTGGTGATGATGATGATAATTTCAGCAGGGTCCCACTCAGTGTACTGGGGGGAAGTCTCTCAGGAGGGCGCAGAGACTTGTTTCTTCGCTGGAATTTGGAAGAGTGGTCTAGTTGTCCGAGGAGTCAAGCTTCCCATTTTTCCCTACAAGTGCCTCCAGTTCTGAAGAAGCTTCTTCCTCAGAAGTTGGGCTGCCAGCACTGAGTCCCTGGCTCTTCTCTCTTTGCAGTGGGGGGGGCGGATGGTGGTGGTGGTCTTTGGCACTCTTCCAGCAGGTCCTTCTCGTCCAGGCCTCACTCCTGGGCCTCTGGCCACAAGGATTTCACCTTAAAACTTAAGAAAGTAATTATGGAGGTCACTCGGTGAGAGTTCTCCATTCTGTGACTTGCGCTTGTTGAACTGGGGAAACAAAAGCACAAAATAAGCACAAAAGCACAAAATTGGCCGTTGTGGAATCAGCCCTCTTCTGCGGGGCAGATTCATTGTTAATATCGACCGTTTTATTTGCCTGGCATGTGGAGAGGAGCCCCCACCCCCCACCCACCGCAAAACGAAGAAGATGCAGAGAATCTCCAAGGTGCCTGCAGCAGCCGGTGGGTTCAATGGGAGAGCAACTGAAAAGTTGGGGAATTGTTTGCTGCAGCCCAACTTACTTGTACATACAACTCGGTTCTTTTTGTTTCATCGTAATTCTATTAAATTTGACAAAACACACACATTAAAACTAATAGTTAAGAAGTTCTTATATTTTTAGTTCTTTGCCTCTCAATCCTTTCCTCCCCACCCCGCTTTCCCTTAGACACAAAGCATATTCTCTGCCATCTAAAAGGTTTGGTCCTAAACTGTTTCCGCAACCGCAGCTGACCTGCGCCCTGTGACATTTTTCCCTATCAGGTGGCTCACTTCTGGAAGCTCTGAATGTTGGGTGAACGTGGGCTGTGGAAGATCTGGAGGAGCTGTGCATTTGAAAAAACATTTTTACAAAGGGAGGGCAGGCAAAGGACACGTTTGTGCACTGCTCTTCCTGTGCATTTGTCGGGTGTGGCATTCTTTCTTTCTTTGGTGTGTCTCCCATGTTCTCCCATTTAGTACTGTATTGTCCATCCTATTTATTAGCCTGAGGAAACCTCAGGGCAGAAGACTCTTGGCTTGGTGAAAGTCCCACCCTGGAGTCGCTTGGGCAGCGAAGACTGTGAGGAGGAGGAAGAGGTCAATACAGTAGGTCAATGCCCACCATGGAGGAGCAATGGCAACTGGTACTGGACACATTCCGATAATCCAGAAATACCTCAGATTTCAGGCAGGACTTCCAGCATCTTCTAAGAAACGGAAATGACCAAATGGCAGATGGCACGTGAGCCTGTGAGACGGCATCTTTCCCAGAGCCTTTGGTTACATTTGTGGGATGAAGACAGGTGGAGTCATCCGTCCGTCCGTCCGTCTGTCCCCCCAGAATTCTACTTTGTAGCTCTTTGTGTGGGGACATCACCTGCCCAGGAAAGAGCCAGATGGAGCTGGATGTCTCCAAATGCTGCAAGCCAAAGGAAGGGAAGGGTCCAGGGGAAAGTGGGGAGGACAGGGAACCCAAGGGAAGGAGTGGCCCCCCTCATTTCTTGCCCCGAGAACCCCAGTCAGTTGCCCACATGTTGTGCTATCCTGGAGGCATCCAACAAAGCAAGGAATCAGGGTTTTCTCTGCTTCCCTTTTACAAGGTCACCCTTTGCCCCAAAACCTTGGCAGCTTGAATCAGTTTCGATGGTGCCAAGGGAAGAGCGGGCATGCTGCTCTTCTTTCAAAGGGAGAACAAACTTCCTTCTCCCCTCCCAGAGGCTGGAATGGGATTTCATTTAGGACTTGAAGATTGTGAGGAATTCACTGGATTATCTGGACGTGTCTCTGGTGTCGGTAGCTGGGAATGTGTGAAGAATACTAACTCACGTAGTGCGAGCACAGAATGGTTTGCCTTTTTTGCAGTTCTTGTGCACTTCCACAAGCTTCTTTTGTTCCCAGATGTGTAACCCCAGGCCAGCCTTCCTCACACTCCCAGATGTGTTGGGAATGGGGCTTCCAAAATGGCTAGTCATGCGTTTGGGAAGGGAACGCCAGGAGGAAGCCACCTGTCACAATAGAGAGGGGAAATCGGCAGAAAGTTTTCCTCTGTGTGGAGAAACAGGCCAGGATCCTTCCCTGAAGAGTCTCGTGCTGCAGAACCAACACTTTGTTCTGCAGGCTGCCCGCTCGCTCGCCTTTGCAACCAAATGGTTCCCTTCCTGTGCTCTGCAAGGAAGGCAGCCTTGCCACAGGCCGCTGGGTCTCTGCTTGGTCAAAGAGGCGTGTTGGGCAGAGAGAGAGCCACTAGGGAGGAGAGTTACCTGCCCTTTGTATAGGAGGATGAGAGAGAGATTTGGGCAAAGTCCCCTTCGGGAGGTCTCCTCCTCCTCCTCCTCCTCCTTCCTAGGTGAGCCCTGTTTATATTTTTTAATATTATTTGTACAGGATCTCACGACGGCATAGATTGTGCTCCCTCCCTCCCGGTTCTCCCCAGGTTGAGCTGAGGGAGGAATCTAGCCCTGACTTTGGGAGCAGGACGGGAGGAATCCTTCAAGGGGACTCGGGGACTCCTGAGAAAGAGAGAAGCACGAGAAACTCGGAAGAAATGCAAGGCTGGTCAGAAAGGATTTCAAAATCCTGCTATTCCACTTAGTTCTTTTCGATAAAGAGCACCCCACGCCTGGTTCTGGCCCTTATTTTGCATCCCGAAAACATCTGGGTGAGGTTTTTTTTTGAGTTTCCTTCTGGTGTTCTTTTTCCTCAGGAAACCGCGGTACAGGTAGCACCTTTCCTGACACCACCAATTAGCATACCTTTCCTCCCCTGGAGTACTAGAGCCTCCCTGGATGGCTCCTTCCTCCTTTCCCCCAAGGCCAATTCCTCATCCCTTCTTAGGTTGAGGCCGGACTTGAACATGGGCATGTCTGCTCTGGGTTCAGCATCTTCAGTACCCCATCCTGGCCAGGGTCTTGACCTGAGACCCCCAGAGGCCTTGTTAAAAACAACCATTGACGGCTGCCTGCCATTGCTGCTGCTTCTCACGTGTGCTTGAAAGCCCCTGGGTTGCTCTTGGGCCGGGAGCATCTCTTTGTATGGCTTGGCACTCTTTTTCCTGGTTGGGGGTGGGGGTGGGGGTGGGGGTGGCTGCCCCTTTATTGGCTGCTGCAGGACAGTTGCACAGTGCAGCTTGGGAGGTGGGTAGCCCCCTGGGCAGGGCAGACCAAGGGGAGAGCGGGGCGTGCTCTTGGCTTTAGGGTGCAACAGTAGAGCTGTCACTTACTGCAGCCTGCTTTTCGTGTTATTTCTGGACCACTCTGTGACCTTGGCAGGGCCTGGGTCCTCCAGGGCAGCAGCTTTGCTCTGGTCAAAGTTGGGCCAGTTGCCCGGCGCCTCCCCTCCTCCTCCTCCTCCTCCTCCTCCTCCTCCGCCTCCTCCTCCGCCTCCTCCTCCTCCGTTCAGTCCATCCAGAGGAATATTTTGTGCACCCTCCCTCATTTCTCACCATCTGTTTTGCCTTTTTTGCTTCCCTGAATCTTCCCGTCTTCTAAAAGCCCCCCCACCCGCAATCCTCTGGTCCTCTAGATGTTGTGGATTTGGTCCATGCTGGATGGAAACAAGTTGCAGTTGAAAGTATTTGGAGGGCCCTGAAGTTGGGAAAGGTGCCCTTAAAGCACCCAGGCTGTGCCTTTACCTCTCCCCTTAAACCATTGCTTGATTACAGTCACGGTGACTCCATACTGGTTTCCTGGTAGTGGGGGCCATATGGCACTCCAAGCCAAAATCCATGTAGGAAGCCAGCCCCCCTCTCATGATCCAGAGTGACGTTTCGTGTGAGAGCCCCTAGCACTGCCTGGAGTTGGCAACTGACTCCACCAGATTTTTGTCAGGCAACCCACGAGCCAGAAAACAGGCTGAGAAGCAGGCTGAGCGTTTATCCTCTTCGGCTCCGCCCCCCCCCCCAGCCCAATACAAACTGGACCCCGTGGTGCCTTGAGCCCAGGCCCAAAGGTGAGCAGTGCGATGGGGATTCTCAGCCGCTCATCTGGATGGTCCATCCGTTCAGTGGGTGGGGGAACCTTCCTGCTCCTTGGTGAACGACATTTGGGCCCCCTGTAAGGAGGAAGGACCGGCCTCTCCCCCCTTTTGAAATTCTCCCTTGGCTTCATGCTGGCCGAGAGGGAAGGAAGAGGCCTCCCTCGGCCCTTTACGTCCGGTGGGGCTGCTCTCCCGGCTTGGAGGGCCCAGCAGCTGCTGCGAACGAGGCAAGAACTTGGCCTACCAGCCCCTCCTGGTGAACCCCACCACCCGTCCTGCAATGGAAGCTGCTTTGGATGAACGTGCTTAGCGTTTGAACGTTAGTCTCCCTTCCCCCAACGCCTGTCAGATAGGTTGGGTCACCCCATAATTTAGAGGGGTAAAATATTTACCAGTTTTACGCTTTTGTTCTTGTCCTCGCTTTTGTTTGACAAATTCTGAATAAAAATAAATAATTTTCCACTGGCCCACCTGATGGGCTTCAGGTTGGAGAAGGTTATTGGAGCTCAGAGTTGTCCTCTTTGGCTGGTCTAAGAAGGTTGTAAACAGGGAAACCAGAAAAAGTGGGCTTGTTTAGCAATTTCCTTTCCTCTTCCTCCCTCAGATGGATGAATTTGCTGGCAGAGAGGCTGATTCAGGCCCAGGCCTTCCAAAACGGGCCCTCACATTGACCGGACGGTCAGTCATTGAGCTTGTAAGAAATATGGACTTCCGCTCCTGGAATCCCCAGCCTGCTGGCTGGGGAATTCTGGGAGCTGAAGTCCACCCACCTTAAAGTTGCTGTGATGGAGGAATCTTGATTGACGGGGTCAGAACCTTGCTTGTTTTCCATGGCTGTTGCTCCAAGCCTTCAAGCTGTGTGACATGGCCCAGCTGAGCCCTGCAGGGACGGATCTCCCCAAGGGAGGCCCAGGCTTCTCTCGAGGTGGCGGGAGGCGTTTGCCTTTGTCGGAGAAGGGCTGAGCTCCGTTGTCTCTTTTCCAGCCTCGAGAAAAGGGGAGGATGCGCTTCCACCGCCTGCAGAACGTACAGATTGCGCTGGACTTCCTCAAACAGCGTCAGGTAAGCGCTTCTCCCTGTGGCCCCTCCTCCCATCTTCCCCTTTTCTCTCTTCAGTGTCCTGCAAACGACGGGATTTCCTTTGCTTGTTTCACTTAAGCTGAAGGAGGGGAGACGTCAATCTTACCTGTTTAGTTGAACTTGGGCATTAGGGCCTCGCTTCTTCCCCCTTTTCCCTCCCCAACAGTGCTGTGAGGGAGGGCAGGCTGAGAGAGAGTGGCCACCTGGAGCTCCAGAAGGGATTCAGGCCAGTCTCCACTTGCGATTTGTCCACCACCACACCCACTCCACACCGGCTGCCCACTACACCCACACCTCCTCCACCCAGGGACCCAGAAAAGGTTGTCCCACTTCTGGATATTGTCAGTCTTCAAGACAAAATCGGGGGGTGGGGGATGTTAGGCAGAGAAGGACGTGAACATTGAGGAAATGAGCATATAAAATGCACCCAGAGACTGAAATGTTGATCGCAAAAATGGAGTAATTTGGAAAACCACACAGGAATCGGGACCATTTGAGAACCCAGTTTCAGTCATTACAGGGAAAAGAAGGCGATTAGAACGGATTAGAATGGAGAGGAGCTTCTGCTGAGGTTTCCCTCTGCCCGGAGGCATTCAGACCAGAGCTCCTGGGCAGGGAGGGAGCAGCCCCAGGACTCTGCAGCTGGCCACTCCAAGCGACACCTTTCCCTCCTCGTCCTGCCCTGACAGGCTCCCTGGGGAATGGAGAGGGTGACACACAGGTGAGCTTCCTTCCCCACGGCCTCTGGGGGCTGCTGGCTCATAAGAGCACCAACAGCTTAGTGGTGCCCGTTGGCCTGCGTTTAAAAATACACCAGAGTCTTGCTGGAGGCACAGGGCTCATCCTTCCCCTCCTCCGCCATGTGACTGCAAAGAGCAGGGGAAACGCTCCCCTGTCAGGACGGATTGGAGACAGGATTGTCATTAATACCCTTCTTAGTTCCAGGGCAGCAAGGAGAGCGCCCTCAGCACCTTTCAGAAATCGTGATGAAATCTTAGCACACTCAGGATCTGTCTGTGTTCCCCAAGCTGGAACCCCCAGGCCTGCCGGATCTGGTGCTCCCCAAATTCCCCGTTCTCGCGGCCCCAGATGGGGAATTGGCCCGTGAAATGCTCCAGGCAGCCAGCTGGATCTGGGGTTTGGCTGAGGCGAATCTCCTCTGGTTACTTTCCCAACCCACCCATCTGGAGGGTCACAAACTGAAGAAGTAATCCCCTGGGATCAAGGAGGCATTTCCAGTGAGACGACAAGGTTGGCAGGACTGCAGGGGTTTGCCCTCCTTTGGGAAGTGGGAGTTTGCAAGCCTTTATTTATTCATCCAGCTGCCCATCTCAAACCAGTGACTCTGGGCAGCCAACAATCGTACAAGCTTCTACTCTGAAGAGTATGAATACATGTGGTTTTTTTTTACAAGTCTTAACACACACATTTCCCCTCTTCCTCATTTTTGCCCAAAATAACAAAACAATCAAATAGCGGTGCTCTGGAGCACAAAATTGGAGTGGGTGTTACAGTATTTGAGGGGCTGCCACAAAGAGGAGGGGGTCAAATTATGTTCCAAGGCACCGGAAGGCAGGACAAGAAACAATGGATGGAAACTAATCCAGGAGAGAAGCAACCTGGAATTGAGGAGAAACTTCCTCACAGGGAGGACAATGAACTGGTGGAGCAGCTTTGCCTTCAGAAATCGCGGCTGCTCCATCACCGGAGGCTTTTAAAAAGAGACTGGACAGCCACCTGTCTGAAATGGTATAGATTCACCTGCTTGAGCAGGTGGCTGGACTAGAAGACCTCCAAGGTCCCTTCCACTGATTTATAATGAAATCAAAGTTGAAGTTCTCTTCCCTCTCTCTCCCGGGTGCTTAATGTAAGAAGCTAGCAGGCATCTCTTTCAGTCAAGCAGGACAGTGTCTATCGGCCTCTTGAGAAACACAAGTGAAAAATGGGAGCCATGTGAAAAACGGCTCTCACAAGCCACGAAATATTGTGATCCTGGGGAGGCAGGCAGGCCTGAGTGCTGAGCAGGCAGCTCTCCTTAAGCAAGCCGCCATGGCCTGGGAAAGCTGTCAGCCTGGCAAGTCTAAGCTAAAGCCAGCATTGACTAGGAGAATCTGAGGAAATAATGACTTTGGCACGCCGTGGGCATCTGGGCCTGTTTCAGAAAATGCCACGGATGTCCACCTGCTTACATGTAGTCTTTTGACATACAGCTGAAGTGGAGCCTGCCCTTGGTATGTTGTATGTCATAACAGTGGTAAAATGGATTGGCCATGAAACCGGCTCACTATTTATGGGCTGGTCTTGTAGTAAATGCAGGGGTTTTAAAGTTCGTAAAGAGAATGCTGTAGCCATCAAGTGAACCACTATTTGGCTATGGGCGATTCTGTTTTGCCAAAAGCCAGAAGGGCCAGTTTTGGGTGGACGCTGCAAACAGCCCTAACTATGATTGCCTGAGGTTTGGTCATGTTATTACGGAGGGAGCCCAACTATTGGAACTTAGATTCCACGTCACGAGTTGAGGTCTATCTGCATAGCCAAAAGCTCCTCATCCCTCAAGTGAGAGAGCTCTTCAGACCTTCTGGCCCCAGCATTGCCGACTCTCCACCTAGACCCCTCCGCTGAGGGATGTGCTCACGGGGCCTCTTAATGGGCAGCAGAGGTTGAGCAAGTGAGGTTCCAGGTCCCATTCCAATCCCTTTGCACGGGACCAAGGGCCTTCCCCTCCCTGCTTGCCTCTTGGAAGCACGATCCAGGCGGGAAGGGTCTCATGAGCACCAGGCAGGCAGGATGCCCCATAAAGTTTCTGGTTCAGATTTGTGGGCAACCTTGGCAAATCTTGTTGAGTGTGCTCTGTATGCACAGGAGAGCATTATCTGGCTATGTGCGCATATTTGTGTAAATCGCTCTGTCTAAAAAGTATTTTACTACAAGCGGGTGTCCTTCCCCCCAATGCCATTGAAATGAGGTAGGCGTTGCGTTCTTTCCAGTGGTGGGTTGTGTAGGGTGTGGGTTCAGCCGGTGCAGGCTTGCCTTCTAGAAGGTCTACAGGTTGATTCTTGGAAAGATAATCCTTGGGATGGAGATAGTGTAATAAGAAATCTTTGTGACCTCATTCACATGCCAAAAGATACAGTACAGATTAGCTCTTGGGAAAAGCAACATTTAAACACTGTAGGGCAGGAATGTTTTAAAAGTGTCACAGCGGAAGCTTTATAGGAAGGTGACCATTTGGGGCATCTTAAGTATGTTGTGAAACTAAAACTCAGGTACATAATGAACACTGAATATTTTTCCGTATTTTGCAATGTGGTCTACAAATCAGGGAAACATGCACACAAATGCAAATATTAACAGCCAAAAATATGCACAGAAGTATGCATAAAACAGGTTTATTTATTTATTTGATATTATTAACTGCCCAACTCCAGTGGGCTCTTGGCATCATAAAATACTGTTTATAAATTCAGGAAAACAAATAAAACATCAAACCAAATGAACAGCCCAGACCAATGCAGTCTTATAAATGGCACACACAAGCAAAAGAGAGGTCCTAGACAAACAGCAACAGAACATCACACCCAGATCTTAAGGGTTTTCCAGACCCAGAAGATCTCCCCTGCCCCCAACCTCTGCAGATGTCCTGGTACAGTTTGTGGGCAATGACAGAGAAGCCCCCCCCCCCTTCTTGGGTCCCGTAAGATGACCGTGTTCAATGGAGGTGATCTGGAGGACACCGGCCAGTACCAGGCAGACAGAACCTGTTTGAGAAGGGCTTTCCCTCAGATGTCCGGGCTCTTTGCTTTTATAGGTTTTCTTAGGTTCTTAGAATAGAATGAGCTGGAAGGGGCCTTGGAGGTCTTCTAGTCCAGCCCCCTGCTCAAGCAGGAGATCCTATGACCATTTTAGATAAGTGGCTGTCTAGACTCTTCTTTAAAATCTCTCGTGATGGAGCACCTACGAGCAGTGGTGGGATTCAATCGGTGTTACTTCCGGTTTGGTGATTACGTTTTGCGCAATCACCGCGTGCGTGTAAGAAAACCTTTAGCTGTGCCACCAGGACAGCTGACAAGCGCTACACACAGGTGCATAGCATTTGGAAAGCCTCTTTTTCCCTGTTTTTCCAACCTCAGGTGTGTTGCGCAAAGCAGCTGAGGTTGAAAAAGCAGGAAATGAAGGACAGGTAAGAGCCCAGGCGGGTGGGTGGGCCAAATAGCAGCAGACACAGAACCGGTTCTCTGTCTGCTGCTCTTCAGAGCTACCAGTTCTGTAGAGCCAGGCACAACCGGTAGCATCCCACCCCTGCCTACGAGGCTTCTGGAGGCAAGTTGTTCCACTGGTTAATTGTCCTCACTGCTAGGAAGTTTCTCCTTAGTTTCAAGTTGCTTCTCTCTTTGATGAGTTTCCAACCATTGTTTCTTGTCCTGCACTCCAGAGCTTTGGAGAATGATTTGACCTGCTCTTCTTTGTGGCAGCCCCTCAAATACTGGAATATTACTATCATGTCACCCCTAGTCCTTCTTTTCTTTAGACTAGCCAGACCCAAATCCTGCAGCTGTTCTTCATATGGTTTAGTCTTCAGGACTTTGATCATCTTAGTTCTTTTCTGAACTTTTTCCTACTAGGGTTTTGTAAAGCAGCACTAAATACTTCACATGATCTTCATTCTATGCCTCTGTTTATACAACCCGGATTGCATTAGTTGGGTTTTTTTTATAAATTTTTATTGGTTTTTAAGACAAACATAGACAGACAAAACATAAAAACATCAAGCCATCTTCCATATATATATATATATACAGTGTGTCGGTTGGTTTACAGATTGTTTTGTGCTTCCATTTTGTAGTCTTCAATTACAATTACATTGTATATATTCTCATATTTTCAATCAAATATTAAGTACATTAATATCATTGTTAATCAATCATTTGACGATACTTTTATTCATTCATGTTTTATGAAATAATCCATATTTTAGTTAATTT